TTCTCAGGCCTTCAAGTTTAGGTCTACTTCTTTTTTCAAACTTTATGTGTCTTTGTGGTTTACTCTTTGGGCATGAAAAGCTGATTTGTCTAAGCTTCCAGTTCTACCTTTTGATTTTATATTGGAATAGCCAGATTGATTTTGTCTTCAGAAGTTCCCACAGAGGCCCAATTCAGATGAGTGTCAGATGATTTCAGGCTTTCTCCTAAGGTCTGGATACCTCCAGGACTGATTTTGGCCTTAGCAATTTGGGAGTTGGACTGGCCTGGGAGCCTGGCCCAGAAAAGATGCTCGTCTAGGGCAGCTAGTTCCTGTGCCACCCAGAGATGCAAAGGCAGATGGTGCAGGACGAGGCCCCAAGGACTCGTTTGGGGACTACACTGAGGAGCTGGGTTGGTCTGGATGCAAAGGATCACAAAGAGGAAAGTTCAGCTCCCAAGTCCCAGAAAGAGGATGGCAGGTGGTGCAGGCCCAGGGAATCAGGGGGAGTTGAGGGCATTGCCAGGTCCTGAAGCAGTGCTCCTGGGGCCCAGAGAAGGCACTAAGTTGGTTTGGATGAAAAGGGTCAGGAAGCAGTATTGGTTCCCCAGGTGTCTGGGGCCCCAAGACAAGGAATGGGGCAGGGCCCAAACTCAGAGAGGAATGGGGCAGTTTGGGGACTACACTGAGGAGCTGGGTTGGTCTGGATGCAAAGGATCACAAAGAGGAAAGTTCAGCTCCCAAGTCCCAGAAAGAGGATGGCAGGTGGTGCAGGCCCAGGGAATCAGGGGGAGTTGAGGGCATTGCCAGGTCCTGAAGCAGTGCTCCTGGGGCCCAGAGAAGGCACTAAGTTGGTTTGGATGAACGGGGTCAGGAAGCATTATTGTTTCCCCCACTGTCTGGGGCCCCATGACAAGGAATGGGGCAGGGCCCAAACTTGGAGGAGAGAATGGTGGGTGAGATGGGAGGGTGAATGGAGCTGGGGGAGTCAAGGCTAGGAGGGTGTGATGGACTTACCCTGAGATAGGCTTGCAGGTGGGAGAGAGGCCTGCTGTGGGTGATGCAAGCCCAGGGAAGTAGGGGGAGGTGAGTGCTGGGCCAAGCCCAGAAGCAGTGCTCCTGGGGCCCAGAGTAGGCACTAAATTGGTCTGGATGAAAAGGGTCCATTAACATTCTGAAAGGGAATGAGCTGGGTGTGGTGACCCACACCTTTAATCCCAGCACTTGGAAGGCAGAAGCAGGAAGATCTCTATGATATAGAGGCCAGCCTGGTCTACATAGTGAGTTCCAGGCCAGCTCAGGCTAAATGGAGACCTTATCTCCAAAACACAAAGAAACAATTTTTTAAAAAGCAGAGGGAATTATTTTTTAATTCAAGAAGCACTGTTCAATATACTTGCTTCAAATTCAGTGATAACATAAACACATTTCTTAGCATTTTGTTATATGTCAAAACATTGCAAAATCCTACTTGCTTATTAAATAATGTTTATTAAATTCTGCTGTGTACTGCTTAGCTTGCCAGAGGCTAGAGGTGAAATATTGAATACAACAAGATCCTTGTCCTCAGGCTTCGCATATTATTTATACTATACAGTGGCTGAACAATGAAGAACATTCTAGATTGTGATCTCTTCTGACAGAAATGAACAAGATCCTCAAATAGAAAGAAGTGACAGAGGGTTATCTCAGAAGGGTGATCAGGGGCAATCTTTCTAAAGAGACCATTTGAATTACAACTTGAAGACTGGGGTTGAACCTTAAACTCTAGACTTATGATATTCAGTATTGTAGCCAATAGCCACCTGTGGCTATGAAGCAGCTGAATGTGGCTAGCTCAAATGGAATGTTGTTCTAATTTGCCTTCAATTGCTGTGATAAAGACATTGACCAAATTTACTTGGGGAAGAAAGGGTTTATTTTATCTTACATCTCCCAGGTCACAGTTTATCACTGAGGGAAGTCAGGGCACGAGCTCATGGCAGGAACCTGAGCACAGATCATGAAGGTATGCTGCTTACTGGCTACCTTCCCCCAACTTAATCAGAAACCACACAAAGTGCAGTAAAGTACCTCAAGGTAGACATCTGGGATTCATTCACAATCTCTGGATTCCAAAGGGCTTGGGTAGCTCTACTTCTCTGATTCAGCCATCCACAGCACACCCAGCTTATCTGTTAGACTCAGGACAACTCCATTCCACACCTGCCACTACTTTTGGTGGTCATCCCATGGTCTTGGCATCTCCAATATGCTGGGGCCTCCTTTGCAACTGAGGCTGCGCTTTCACCAGTGGTCTTTCCTGGCTTCTCAGGGTGCCAAGCCTCAGCTGCTTTCTGTGAACCCCTTCATGCCTTCAAAACCAGTACCATGCAGGAGCCTCTTACACATGACCAAGTTCTTCTTCCAGTTTGAGATGGAGTCTTGGGTCCCCTCTGGACTCCTGCTTCTGTGTGATGACCCTGAGGAAATATTTCTCATAAGAGTTCACCTCAATGATGCTGGTCTCTTGTTACAGCTGATTTTTGAGTCCTAGCTAACCAATAAATCACAAAAGGTTTTACTTCCAAAAGTTCTTAATTCATAATATATCACACAAACAGCCATGATAAAGTCTTTGCTTCCTTTAAGAAAATCACAAGACAGGCCTCCATCATCTACATTTCAGCATAATTGTTCCAAGCTCCACAGCAACAGTTCACTAACCTCTGAACACTCAATGGCTTTTCTAGCTCAAAGTTACAGATGCTTTCACAATCCTCCCAGATGTATATGGTCAGGACCATCACAGCAATACCCTACTCCTGGTACCAATTTCTGTTCCAGTTTGCTATCAACTGCTGTTATATAAACAGTGAACAAAACAACTTGAGGATGAAAGGGTTTATTTTATCTTACATCTCCCAGGTCACAGTTCATCACTGAAGGAAGTCAGAGTAGGAACTCAGGGCAGGAACCTGAGCACAGACCATGGAGGTATGCTGCTTACTGGATTGCTCCCCTGACCCATTCTCAGCCCACCTTCCCATACAGCACAAAACCACCTGCCCAGGGGTAGAACCACCCCCAATGGACCGAGATCCCCCACACCATCACTCAACAATTAAGAAAATGCCCCATAGACATGGCCACAGGTCAAGCCAATGGAGACAACTCCTCAATTGAGGTTCCCTTAACCCAGATGTATCAAGTTGACAACTGAAGCTATTCATTACAAATTTAAAACAGGAATAAAACACACACCAATGTCCAAGACTAGTAAAAACCAGTAAATTACTTTATTAATACATTTATATCAGCTGCATGTTAAATGTATGACATTTTAGATATATTGGTATAAACATTGTTATATTGCAACATTGTTGCAATATAATTGAGATTAACCTGGAACTCAGAGTATTTCAGTCTAGCCTCACACTGTGTGCTTCTCTTTCCTTAGTATCCCACGTCTGGGCATTGGATGTGTGTGTGTGTGTGTGTGTGTGTGTGTGTGTGTGTGTGTCCATGTGTGGCTTCTTCTTAACTTGTTTTAACATGGTTACTAAAATATTTAAGATTTTATATGTGGATCATCTTACTTCTGTTTAGTAGCCCTGGTATAGTTTCAGCCGATTTGCTATTAGTAATATGTATTTCTATCTTTTTGCCTTGATAATATTGATTGAATTTATGTAGTAGACTTTTTTGTAGTATCTGGTCTATTTATTGATTACTATTATATCCAAATGTAATAATTTAATATATGATCAAGCTCAGAGTTAAAAGGTAGCAATTGGTGTAGAAAGCACATAAGATTGCCACATTTAATAGAGTTGTGTCACTAGTAGTGTTCCCTTAGAAATGTTCACAAAACAGATAACAGAGGATTAAGAATTTGAGAGGTAGGGAGAGCTCGCTTCCCAAGGCTATGACATTGTAGGACAGTATTTCTATGGGAAGCTGCACCTTCAAACTGCACAGATCTATTTCCATTCTCCATGTAGTAAAGGAGAGTCTATTGTTGTATAGAATTGCCACTACCTGCATGCTACTAGAGTTTTTGTGTGCGTACTGTTTTAGTGACTTTAGTGTGCCTCATTGTTTTTGTCTGTCTGAGAGATGCTGGTAGGTTCACACATTTCTTTATTTCTTTTTTATTTTATGTGTGTGTTTTGCCTACATGTATACAGACGCCTGAAGAGGGTGTCACATCCCCTGGAACTAGAGATATAGATGGTTTTTAGCCACCATTTGGGTCCCAGGAACAGAACCCAGGACCTCTGCAAGGGCATCCAGAACTCTGAGCCATCTTTCCAGCTCCATGTTCACACATCTTTAACAACATTAAGTTTCTTCACTGCAGAGAGCAAATGGAATAGCTTTCTCTGTGCAGGGTTATTATTCTCATTTCTTATTGTGGTTTGTGCCATGGGGAAGAGATTGAGTACTAAAAATGTATGTTTGATTGAACAAATCAATTAAAAAATAGTTTAATAGGAACTGTAAGACCCCAGAGATTATGTTTCTTATGTAATCTACCCTAACAGTTTGCAAGGGGAAACTCTACCCTTACTGGTTTGAGAGTTGAGTCATATCCTGTGAGATGGTATTTAAACATCACTGGTTCCTCTTACTTTCATTCTAAGTCGCTGCAGTTCAGAGCAGCAAGTGCTCTGTGCAAAGAGGCTGTTGCTCTCCCTTGGTGGTGAACAGACGCTCGTGCTGGTGTTCTGTGAAGAAAGCCAAGTCTGGAGATACAGCTTTTTTACAGGGTGAAAGATGCTTTGTTCATTTCTAAAGCAATATGCTAGATAGCTACAAGCTGAAAAGTATCTGCAATTTGCCATTTGTTTGTCATAAGGTAAGTGGCAGGTTTTGGTTTACTCATTGGATTATGGCAGCAAAATCTGTGTGGCAATTTCAGGATAAAATCATGCCTCAGAAAATGTCTTTTCAGAGGGCACTAGGCATGGCATTTGAGATTCTAATGAAAGTAATTTTAAACTTACAGCACAGTTCACTTAGGACTTAAGAAATCAGTATTCTTTTTGTGGTTGTTTAATGAAAACTGTGATGCCTTGGGAGTGATTACGTGGTACTAGCTTTATATTGTTTACATTATTTTTAAAAATTAGTCACAGGTTTGGAGATTTAAAAATTAGTTACAGGTTTGGGGATTTTTTTTTTTCTTTTTGCTATACTATAGATCCTGTGAAAGGTGACATATAAATAAGATTCAAATAATTTTTTTATCCTAAATAATTATTGTTCTTTATTGAAACAAAACAATAGTATTAATAATTGGACAGTTTAAAGTGATAAGGTAGTAAAAGTCTCTTGCCCTACACTGTTTGTATTTCTACCTGAATGAGAGGTCACTGGATTTAGAAACTTCAGAAGGATCTGTTTATTTTAAATGTATATGAGCTTATTTAGCACTGCCTGCTTCCTCAGTCCTGTTGAGACAGTCATAAACAGATTATGTACAGAGAGAAATCGGAGTAGGAGAAAGACTGAGAGGTTAGTTTGTCATATTCTTTAAACTAAACTGTTGAAGAATAGTAATTGTTTTTACTGATTAAAGAAATAAATACAGAGTTTAAGAGGGGTGTCTTGTGTTCTATAACTTTGTATGCTCATATGTAAAGCTTTAACTTCATTTGAGAAGAAAAAAGAGGCTAGTTTGATTTTGAAAGCTCTAGATTTATAGATTTATAGAGCTGTAGATTTATAAGATGTTAATGAATTGAGTTTTTAATTTACTAATGACAGCTGATATTATAAATGCTGTCTTCCTAATTGACTCACTGTCATGCTTAGGAATGTTTCATTCCTATTCAAAGTTATACTCACTGTGAAACTGCTATATTTTAAAACGTAGAAATTACTTTTCACTAGATATATTCAATAATTCATGATTTTTACAAAGGTCAAAGGGTTAATGAACTGATGGAGGGAAAGTGGTTTTCCTCTTTTTTGTGCAGGAGGAATTAAAATTGTTTTAATGTCCAAGCACATTTTAAGGCAGTATTTCATGCTGGAGAATGAAAGCTCTAAAGAAAATGACTTAGCAGTATGAGAGCATTTTTAACCTCAAATAGTGAAAACACATGTATCCCCAAATATCATGATATATGTGATAAATAAAACATTATGGAACAGGATTATGCATTATACTCTGCTTTTTGATCTGGGGAAGGAGGGAGCTATTCTGATTTTTCAAATATTCTGCTGGAGGAACTCAATGAAAGGTGTGGAACACAATATACTCCATCAAAACAAGAGCTTGTCTAATTTCACTCTGCATTGCTTCCGAATTTTCGTTGTGGATTATAGTGGCTAAACATCTGTTGGCATGAATGGCAAGCCAGGCTGATGAATTGCTATCAGATAATAGAGTTTATAATATGCTGTTTCCAATATGGGCTTGCTTATGATATGCTCTAGTCCACTGGTGATTATCTGGTGAGATTACTGAGGCATCTTGTTTCTCCTCTTCCCTTTCTATTGCTCCATTCTTCCATAGGTTTCCCCTTCTCTGAATTTGCAGAGGGGTGAGGGGGTGAGCCAGTGGTGTGAGGAGCACAGTCAAATAGTGTTTCTATTTTTCAACTCCTGTAATGGTTTTGACGAAGAAGAAGGTAAAATGGTATGATGGCTAAAATGAGTCCTTTGGATAACATAGGGGTTTCAATGTTTAGGAAACCCTTTCACCCCTGAGATAAACAATAACTTAATTAGCAAAAACTTTTCAGACCTTAATACCTAGCTTTAAGGATTGCTGCAAAAATGAAATAAAAGCATGTCTATTGTTTTGTAAACAATAAAGCGTTAGGCACATTTTTGGGGAATTGTTTTTGGTTTTATTGAAGTAGAGGAGTTATGAGACATCAAAGACTCGGCATTCTATTTAGGAATCAGTATTTTTCTTTTTAGTAATGAAAGCTTTGTTTTTCTCCCCTATGTAAATTAATTTTTCTTGGTAATATCCATACATATTTTTTTAAACAAAATAAGCTTCAGAAATAAAAATCATTCCCAAGTTTGTTTATAAGCCCTAGTGAACTTTCAAATTTCAAATAGCACAAGGAAAGCTGCCCGTTCTCAATAAAAAATGTTTATCAAACAGCAATTAAATGTTGCTTTCAAGCTAAACTCAGTATATACTTTGTCTCAACTGGAAACTAAATAATCAGAAGAAGAAAATGGGCATAATTTTTTCTCTGAATTTTTTTATAAGGACTTGAAAATTTCTTAATAAAGAATATTATAGGGGGGAAGTATGGTGTACGCCTTCTGATTCCTGAACATTAAATATTTCTAGATGACACTTTAGAACCTTTTGTCTCTAGTGAATCCTATTGGATGCCAAAGATAGCATGTGTTGGGTAAATGACTAATAACTGTTTCCATTTCACTCTGAAAATTAGCTATAAAGATCAAATGGTTCTACTTATGTGCCCTCAAATATCATCACAGAGTAAGATATTAAGTTTTATGTTTGGAAGGGAACTTTGATGAATTAAGAGGTTCAGGAAGACAAAGGTGCTTAGTTTCATGCAGCATGTATCTGAACAAAGACTTAAACCTGGATCTTTTTTCCTGTCTAGTTATCAAGAAACTGACCAAAATACTGGTTGTTCTCTCTGTACCACTGTTGAGGTTTCCTTTGGTTGCTGCTGTGTTATGTTGTCTTTAAGTCTGTCTCACTGTGTAGTCCAGGATGGCCTTGAACTTGGCAATCCTATTGTCTCAATCTGCAAAGTGTTGTCAAGCTCAGCATTTTAAAGGCTTTTTTTTTAAAAAAAAAAAAAAAAAAAAAAAAAAAAAAAACAATAAAAACGTTTCCTAAACAGTGATGCAGAAGCATATAAGATACACTTCATGGAATGTTCACAGAAGAAGCATCACCCTCTCTACACACAGGCTTTATGGCTGAGGAGTTTCTGTTTGATCTACTTCGATGGAGCATGAGTTTGTGAAATGGTTATCACAATATGCTGCCTGACTCTTGCAATTTCTTAGAGATTGCCACAGAAAAAGTATTCCAGTCTTTAAGGAAATGATGCATGAAACAAACATGTTTCATGAATATGGCTCTGCGTTTTAACTTTCAACACTGTAGGTGGTAGGGCATATTGTTTTGCTACAGTTTTTGAAATGGATAGTTTAGCAAAAATTTATTTTCCCAAAAGTCTTGCCTTTGAAAAGGAGACAAAGAAAACTTAAAAACCCTATAAACTTCTAACCATTTCTGTTAGAATTGATGTGCATATTTTATATTTATGTATTTGCTCTTTTTTAAGACCAATGATAAGAGGAAAAGATGATTTTTCACAATTATAGAAGTTAATGTCGTTAGTCCTACTATACAACACAATAGATTTTAAAAAAAGAAAATTTTATTTAAAAAAATCTCAACAATAAGATCAGAGGACAGTTACTTAAGAGTTTTCTTTAAAGGTTACTTCTTACTCCTAAGAATTCAAAAAATGCTCACTATTTATTTTTATAGAAAATGCCAATTAATGAAATTTAAATGCCTTCATATACTGTGTTGCAACTTACAGCTTCAAGAGAGAAGTGAAGTTCATTATGATGCTATCTTATGAATAAACCCCACTACGTCTGGCTTTCTAATAAAGTTCCTGTTTGTATTGCTTCGAATAACTTAGTGAAGGAACCTGTTATATAACTAGGAGATAAAGGAAAGCAAATGACGTGAATATATATAGATCTTATTTTTGATACATTTGAATGCACTGGATGGCGTATGGTCTAAGGAGCAAAACCCTAGAATGCACAACTATAGAAGGGAGTCAATTCTTCTCTGTTATACTAATACTCTCTTGCTTTTAAGTGACAACAGAATATATATATATATATATTTATATAATATAATATATATTATTTTTCCTTAATATCTGATTATAGCCCCATAACTCCTGTAAGTTCTTGATAAATATCAATTATAATGCTGTGAACATCTAGGGTAGGGGAACATTTTGATCCAAGTAGGAATGTCCAAAGACCTAGCTATATAATAAAATAAGTACTAAGCTTTGTAATGAATGTTCATTTAATATGAGCCTAAGTTAGAAAAGTCTATAGCAGGCTTGTTGAGTTTTACTTCCATATTAATTTAGTAGACATGTACAAATTAGTCATTGGTCTCCTTTGCTTGAGTCATTTTACTAGTGGGATGGGATTTGTAATATTTAATCATGATAATTTATAGCATACCCAAATACATAATCAATTTCTAAATCCTTTGCTCTACAAATGTTTCTCTCTAAGATTGATGATGATGATGAGGATACTAATGTATATCATTTGTAGCAGTCTGTAAATATTGTTGAATTGTCCAATTTAATTGTGTAGTAACCTTATAATCGTGGACACTGTTATTATTGTTCTTATCATTCCCTTTTTACAGATGGAGAAGCTAAAGTACAAAGAAACCAAGTCTTTTGTCCCTAACATCACACAGATGACAGTAGAATGACCACAGTTGTATCTAGGTAGTCAGATTCAGAGCCAAGATACTTATGTGCCTTCTGTGCTACCTCTACCTCATTGTGTTGATCTCAGTAATTTGAATTCGATGCTAAAAAATTATGCAGAGAAGAAAAAACTTGATTACAACTTAACGTGACTACATTTAATCATTTTGACGGCTTGTACATTCTCATTCTTTTTGTTTATTTTTTTTATTTTTGAGAATTTCATACACGAGCATTTTCTTTGCATTATTTCTATCCTTCCCAGTCCCCCTTCAACTCATCCTAAGTCCCCCTCCCTCTCAATTATTTGTCCTTCTTTGATTATTAGTTAGATATAATGTATATTTTTCTATCTACA